ATATATATATATATATCCATATCCACATATGGTGGCCATATCAACCATAAGTTATCTAGTGACCAACTTCACTGGCGTATTTTATTTTGAGGAAAATGGAAATTTTGATTCCCAAATATTAGTGTTCATATTTCAGGCACTTAAAAATTGTCATTTAGAGGAGTACATAAGTCAGTGCCTTTATATAGGAGCCAATCAATAATTTTGTATCAAATTATGTGGTTTAAAGATACTGCTTTGTTTCTCTCTAGTGGATGATACTGTGGTTGCTATTCCCTATGGAAGTAGACATATTCGCCTTGTCTTAAAAGGACCTGATCACTTGTGTAAGTAAACTCAGTTGCTTTCCTTTGAGTATTGGGAATTTTAGTCATTATTATTTTTTGTTCCCAGAAGAGATTAAAATACAGAAGTGCAAATCTTTCTACTCTATCATAATATGATATTCTGAGTGCTTCTGTTTATCTTTTGGCTGCCTGATGAGATAGCAAAAACCTCAGGGTAATTATCTCTAACCACAGTCGTCCTAAAAAACACAAAATGGATGCTCCCAGTAGGTTGTTCATGAGTTAAGCACATGTTTATGTTTTTGTGCATATTATTTCTCATTCTCTTCTTCCCCTCCGATCAGTCTCCATCTTTTTCTTGCCTTGCTTTTTTCCTCCTCCTTCCAGCCTTCCCTCCCTCTATGTTCGTTCGTTCTTTCTTTCCTTCTTTCCTTTTCTTTCTTCTTTCCTTTTCTTTCCTTCTTTCCTTTTCTTTCTTTCTTTCTTTCTTTCTTTCTTTCTTTCTTTCTTTCTTTCTTTCTTTCTATTCTCATGTTCCATTACTTTATCAATTCAGGGGAATATAGAAGCAACAAACAACTTTAACCCTGGGGCATTTAAAGAAAACCATTGTGGTGTAACTAAACATCCTATGTACTAAAGAAAATGCAAAGCCTTTATATATTAAAGATAGCTATTGGGATTCAGGACTGAAGGGTAATCAAACCCCTAAAGATCAAGTGGTAGCATGGTTCCACCAGAATTTAGAAAGAACTGATCTTCAGTCATGGCAAGGCAGTAGTACACAGCCATATCTTTTCTTTTTTGTTATTAGCATTTAGTATTATTTAGATGTAGACCCATAAATTACTAGCAGAAAATTATAGGCTATAAACCAGCGAGGGGGTATGAAAGTTATATTGTATTTTGTACAAAATTCAGCTACACTGAAAGACTTCTCTTCAGCTGGTCCCTTGAGCATTTCTGATCTCCACTGTGACTATTCCTGGATTCCTTAAGAACCATCTATCATCTTCTCTTCTTTCTCCCCTCCCACACACATGCCTATGAAACCAATTTAGGTAGCAGGCATTATCTTTTGGCAATTGGATTATAAATGAAATCATTCCAGAAAGACAAACAAGAGGAAGATAAATTGGAGCCTGTGAAAGTTCAGATAGTCTACTATAGTCTTTCTAAAAATAAAAACAAATACATTTCATGGGAGAGGCAGGATTTGAGGGGTCATGTGAAGGAAAGGAATAAGTAAGGTACAGTTCAGGCAAAGCCAAAAGAAACTGATAAGTCACCTTATATGGATCCAAGTTCTTTTCTAACCCTGAACAACCCCCCAAAATATAGTATTCACATGTCAGGGATGATATATGTGTGTACACTATCACCATTCAAATGATTTGCTTTTCCCCTGGAGGATTGGACAGAGGTAACTGCTCATGTAACAGCCCCACTCAAAAATAGTATTTTTCTGAGCAGTGACAGGCCTGCTCAGAATAAAACATCCAGGCGGAGATCATCACCAAGTTTGGGACTGACTTCTCAATGTGGAACAAAGAACCTAAAGCAATCCATTTAAGATGAAATTCATTTTTATAAATGTATTAGCCTCCCAGTTTTCCTAATTATGTGATCACTAAGAAGCTAAAGAATTATCTTTGTTTGGTTTAATTGTCCCAAAAATTCAATAGGTAGAGCTGCAGATGATACTTACAAATGATGGAAAGAAAAATGGAATTTGCTTTTTTTTTTCCCCCAACTGACATAATGTTGACAGCATATATGTACCTTATCTTTTTGGGGTTTTTTGGTATCTGGTATTTGGTATTTGTTTGAAATATAACATGATATAATATAATATAATATAAATATGTAAATAAAGGTCCCCATGTTTCTCTTGTAACCCTTCGCACTTAATTCCCAGAAGCTGGTCGAGTATGGGACCAACCTTAAATATTTAGGGGCAAACCAGAACAAGACTAAGCAGTCTGGCCCAGCCCCGGCTTACCTTTAATCAGAAGTACCTTGGGAAGTACATACAGCTGGGAGGCCTGGTGATAAAATTAAATCAGATGCTCATATCAGGCTTAGACCCCCAGGATTTTCCCAAAACTAAGTTGGTTTGTGTCTTGAAGATATTTCTACAAATTAGTGCACATACATGTAAGGCAGCTTGAGGAATGAAGGCTAGAAGAAGGAGATCCCATGCTGTTGGCTTTCCTCTGATTACAACAGCTGTGGTTTCCCCTCCAGCTCTCCCTTGATGTGCCCTATGCTCTCTGTGAGGACCTCTCTCTAGGGCAAGGGGATGGAACCTGACCTATTCCAATTGAAGGGCTACACAGATTTCATCCAAGGGTTGTGGGCATTTCACTGGACATTGAACATCCAACATTCTTCACCTGTTGGTATTCCAGCGTGAAGCAGACAACACTTAGAATAATTTAGTACAGGTACATTAGTACCTCCAGAGACCCTAAAGAGGTCCCAGAACCCCAATCTGCAAAACACAGAAGAGGGGAGTCATTCTGATTGAATGTGGGGTAGGCCACCCAGAGCCTCACCTGACATTTTATCCTTCTGCCAAAGAAACACTGCCAAAACTAAGGGTTCTTATGCAAGTTTTAGAAACACTGACTTAGTCTATCTCTCTTCATACAGTGGGAAGTTATTCCATATCATTTCTCAGCCACATGAGAATTTAATATGCTCTGAAATATGCAGCATAATTACCATAATCCTCAGCTTGCTCTGATTTCCTATAATCAAAGATGCTTCATAGGCTTTATCATTGGCCAAATTCAGATTGGAATGCTCCAGGAATCAAGAAGTTCCTCTTTCTCTCTTAAACACTTACAAAATATCATATATGTACATAATACTGTATTAGGTACCAAACAGGATTTTAAAGAGAGAGAACTAAAAAGAATGGGTCTTCCTCATCCTCATTACTATAGTTTCTTCTGCACAACAGCACACATGTGGTAAGAAACCAGATAGTACAAATAAACACAAGGTAATGTGTGAATATAAAGTCACATGGGTGCTGAGGAGAACTCGGAGAGTACCCTTGATCTCACAGATCAGAAAGCAAATTCTAGACAGAGAGCCATAGAGACCGAAATCAGTAAGATATGTATGGGAGATGGTTTAATGAAAGGAATAGGATTGTGATGAATTGGAGCACCCAAATGAGGTCATCCACGGAGTCAATTATCTTTTGATCGGGAGCCTTGAATGCCTGGCCAATGAGTTTTAAAATGATTTCATTTGCAACATGAACTCTGTGATCTAGAGGTGCCCATAAATTTTGTTTATATCACAATGTCAACTGTGTCAGCTGTATCAAGGGGGATACTTCTCCCTTCATAGCTGTAGGCTGTTTTATGAAATATGCTTGCTTATGGTAGCCCTGGGAACATCTTTCTTTCCTTTAAATGTGTTTGATTATGTAGATCTGGAAACCAAAACCCTGCAAGGGGCTAAAGGTGAAAGCAGTCTCAGCTCGACAGGCACCTTTCTTGTGGACAATTCTAGTGTGGACTTCCAGAAATTTCCAGACAAAGAGATTCTAAGAATGACTGGACCACTCACAGCAGATTTCATTGTCAAGGTAAGTGCCTTTAGGTTTTCAAGGCACATCCAAACTGTTATTTATAATCTCCTGAAGAGAGAGAGAGAATTTGGGTTTGGGCATAGATTTGGAAATCCTTTTACCCAGGAAATGTTTAATTCACCATCACCTTTTCAAGAACATATATTTCCTGGACCTTTCAAGAACATATATTTTTAAAGCCCTAAGAAAGTTCTTAGGTGTGTGTATATGTATATTATTTAATAAAAAGACCCAAAGACCAACACATCATTAGTTGGAGGATATAAACTGTTTTTAAAACAAATTAGGATGTAGTTGCCAACTCATAAAGTGTTCTCAGTCAAAGAGAAAGACAAACTAATGATCCATAGACTTGGTCATACTTCCAATTACAAGTTCTGGTTTCTCTTGTACTGGCAAAAAGACTAAGTTGTTTCTTTCTATCAGAGCTTCCCTACTCTTCAAGGTAATATAAAACACATTGCTGGAAGCAACATATACATTCTGTAGGAGAAATGTACACACTAGAAGAATGTTTGGGAATCACAATAAAATAAAACATATTTTTTCTTTCAGTAGGTCAGAAGGACCTGAAGGATTTCAGCTGTAAAGCTGTAAAACTTGTAATGTGTCCAGGACTCCATAAATTTTTCATCATGGGACCTGGAGCCAGAGGACATTTGATTTAAGCTAAGGCTTGATGACCCTGTGGCAGCTGGAAGTAAGAATGCATATAGGAAAATGTGATAGTCAGTGAGGTTGGATGGAAGAAGGGTTCCAGAGCACTCTTCTCCTTCTCCATCTGCATGGTAGCTCTTTTTAACCCAGTCCAGATGCCAGGTACATTCATGTGAACAAGAAGCTACAAACCAGCAGATATGGTTCACAATAGAAATGATGCTGATAGTTAAATCATTCTATTTAAATATGCAAATACAGTGCAGTATTGAAAGATGTCTTTATTTTTTGAAACCCTTAGAGTGCTGTTGAATACACCATTTATGTTAATTTCCCTGGTGGCCTTGCAAGAGTTAAAACACATACTAAAAATATAGAATTGGATTCAATAATGTCTGATAATAATAATAATAATAATAATAACAACAATAAATGAATAACAATAATAATATGTGAATAATATTATTCACATGCCAGTAGTTCACAGCTTTGCTGACACACACCATATATCTAGCTGCCTTCTGCATATCACCACTTGGATATCCCATAGACACAACCAGCACAACATAGCCAAACCTGGACTTGTCTAGCCCTAATCTAATCTTTAGAAGAAACCTACCTAATCTTCTTTATTTCTTATCTTGTAGAATAATATGCTCTTTACCCAGCCACATCAGAAACCTTTGATTCACTGATTTCCCCTTCTCCGATACGCCCCTAGCTAGCCATCAAACTTTGTCAGTTCTACCTTCATACCATCCCAAGATTATTCTTTCTTCTCCATCCTTGCTGCCACTGCCTTTGTTTAGGCCTTTGTATTTCTTCCTGATCATGCTATGTGCATCCTTCTGAAACTGCAGCCCCAGTGAAAGAAAATGGCTTTCTCAAACAGAAAAGGGTCTTTTGCAGTCATGGCACATCCTTCACTAGAACTTCCAACGTAGCTCTACTTGTGAGCACTGCTAAGGTATGGCTGGACCTGCTCAGTTTGTACCCTTTCGAGAAATTTCAGAAGACTGTCATAGAGAGAAGTGATGAGTACCTAAGCCACCAAAGTGGTAGAAAAGTTGTGATTTCCATTTGCATTTGTTAGAGTATTAGGCAGAAATAATGCCTTAATATGTCTTTCTGAACAGTCTTGAGCATAAATCTGTTCATAATTCAGCAGCCAAGGAGGATAGGGAGACTCCTGACTACCAGCCTCTTGCTGGCTTGTCTCAGGCAAAAGTTTCTACAACACCAGTGAGAGAAAAGAACATAGGAGGGGACAGCAAAGGCTCACAAATTACCCTTTAACCAAAAGAGAAGAAAAAGATATGGCATTTCAGAGTACATCAACTGAGAGATCCTTTGTGTACTTGATGTCTTTCTTGTGTTTGAAATGTCTCCTTGATTCCTTTGATTTTACAGGGATCTATGTTCATCCGTTACCCACACACACATTGGTCCTGCCTTGTGACTTTATCATGACAGTGCAGTGAGTTGCTATGGAAAGTGACCAGTTTTTATCTTCTTTCCTTTCAGTATGAGAAGTCCTTAAATTACAAACACTGAATCATTGTAATTATAGGAAGAAAAGCTTGGTTCAGAACATTCTTTTTCCTTATTAACTTAAGGAGGCCAAAATTACATATGCCAGATGTGTTTAGCTCCCTAAAACAAAATCCTAATGTGTCAAACTGAAGCTTTCAACATACTCTTGAGAACAAGAACCTGATGTCTGAGGCCGTATGGTTTGTAAAGCTCCAGAGCTAATGATAACAAAGGTCCCAGACGCCCAGAATTAATAAAACCAGAAAAAAGGAACATGGCAGCTCATCTGTATAAGAAACAATTAGTCCATCAAAGTTAGACATCAGGTTAGCCTCTTCTTTTTATTTTAAACATACTTTTCCTACTTTAAAACGAAAAATTAAGAAGATAGTGAGGAGAGCAGTTCAAGGACGCCACTAAAAATAAATACCTATGTCTTTACAAAACTAACATTAACTAACAAAATTACTTTGTGCCCTGAAAAGAATGGCAGCTTTCAAGCCAAGGCACACTTGAATTCAAATTTCAGCTCTGCTATTCCCTAGCTGTGTAGCCTTAAGTAAGTCACTTAATCTCTCTGAAACTCATCTCTCTCATTATAATGTAAAGGTCGAAGATAATACAGGGTAGTTCTAGATTTAGATTTAATACAAATAAAATGTACCTTGCATACGGTAGGAATGTAACAAGTGCTGGTTGCTGTGGTAGTTGTTGGCTTTATTTATTTTTTTAATTTTTTTTTCAATGTTTATTTATTTTTGGGACAGAGAGAGACAGAGCATGAACGGGGGAGGGGCAGAGAGAGAGGGAGACACAGAATCGGAAACAGGCTCCAGGCTCTGAGCCATCAGCCCAGAGCCTGACGCAGGGCTCGAACTCACGGACCGGGAGATCGTGACCTGGCTGAAGTCGGACGCTTAACCGACTGCGCCACCCAGGCGCCCCTTGGCTTTATTTTTAAAAAATTATTTAATGTTTACTTTTGAGAGAGAGAGAGAGAGACAGAGTGTGAGCAGGGGCAGGGGAGGGGCAGAGAGGGACAGAGAGGGAAGCAGAACTGGAAGTGGGCTCCAGGCTCTGTGCTAAATATCAACATGGCGCTGAAACTCATGAAATGCAAGATGACCTGAGCCAAAGTCGGACACTTAACCAACTGAGTCACCCAGGCACCCCAGTTGTTGACTGTTATTAAAAGAAGAAGGTACCTGTAGAGAAGAGAGAACCAGGAATTATCAGTGTGGAAGGAGTCAAACAAGATTATGTGGTCAGAAGTCTGGATATATTATGATTGGTTTTATCTGTTTGAAATAACAGCATCCCTGTTCACTTCCAATCTCTTTTCAAATTTAGGCATAAGTCTCAGCATTCATGCTCATTGTACATCGGTTTCATTGGGCTCATTAGGAACAATATTCTTTCTAATCTTCTTGTTTTCTTTACTTCAACATAGTCTTTACTAAGACTCCCTCTTAACACCAAAACTTCTTCACATTCATTCCTTACTCTCAGGACATAAGGTAGTTTTACTGATAACTTCTAGTAGGCTGAAAATTTGACGAATTCCATCTTTTTGCCTCTTTAACCAGATCAAAAACTAAGCCCAGACACTGTACGGATATTCTAGAACACGGTTTCTCCAAGGATTTTGATGTTATATCCTCCACGTATTTGTTTTTTCCTCCACTTTCCTAGGACTTTGTTTAATTTCAAGCATCCCAAAAGGGACCTCTGCAAAACAATCCATTTCCCTAAGCCTAAATAAATCTTCTGGTATTTTTATTTTTTCACCGAGCTGGTGTTCAAATGAGAGTCCTCTTCTAATACCTTCCCAGCATGGAAACCACACATCCCAAGAGAGCTATAGGCTTTTGTGAGCTTAAAACAAAAGTAAAACAAAACAAATAAAAAAACAACCAAAAAAAAAAAAACTTTCCAAAGGATATGATTAATACTACATCCCCGAGCAAGCAATTAGGTATCCTGTATCTGACACATAGGATTGAAAAATATTAATCTGTAAACTATGCTCCCCTTTTAAGTAAGACACTGTATTGCTTCAGCTGTTTTTGCTTGAAAGTCGGGGATTGTATCACTGCTTATTCTAAGTAGGAAAGACCTCGATGTTCCATGGGTCGGAATTCCAGCATAAAATGAAATATTCTTTAGTTTTCTCACTTTCTTCTTTCTCCTTTCCAGCTCTTGCAGATCATTTGAAGAACATTTCCAATATTCTTTCCTTCCAAAGTCCAAAAACTGGTCTGGGGTTTAACACCTACTCCCTGTTTCTTCAGTGTTCCTAGATGTTTAATCCAGTCGTTAAACTCAGTAGTGGAAAAATAGATGGTCTTTTTTTTTTAAATCTGAAGGCTAAATCCATCAGTTTATCCTCAGTAAAGGGCAGCTAGGACCGCAGAAAGCTTGAAAACACTAACAAAGACTTAGACCACAGGATATGCTGATGTGCTCCTCTACTGTCTTGAAGTTAAGAGGTGCCCCTCTTTGTTGTCCATGGAACTTCCTTTAGTATAACAAATAGTCCAAGCCTTGCCCACTGTTTCAGTGTTATATGACATGTTATTATGTCTTCATGAAATCAAGGCATTGCTCCTTCAGTTTAAGTATGTTTTCTCAACCTTATACTTTTAAGAACTATTAAAGGATTATTGCTTCACTTCCCCCCTTTGAAAAACAAAGGAGTTGTCATTTCCATAAGCACATGTTGTATTCAAAGTAAATGCTTTTATAATGGAAGTTGGTGTTTTTTAAAGTTTGGTACTTGGACTATCAATGTTTGCGTTGCCGGGATCTCTGGACAAGAGCTGAGGAATTAGCATTTTAGCAAGCTTCCAATTGGCAATTCTGCACATGAAAACGTATGAGTCACTAAATTGCCAGGAAACACCATGTATGTCTCTGGGTGGGCAGAGCCATTTAATTCTTTAATTTTTTTCGTTTCTTTTTTAAAAATTGTTTTAATGTTTATTTATTTTTGAGAATGAGAGAGAGAGAGAGAGAGAGAGAGAGGGAGGGACAGAGGATCTGAAGCAGGCCCTGTGCTTACAGCAGAGAGCCCGGTGTGGGGCTCGAACTCACAAACCATGAGATCATGACCTGAGCTGAAGTTGGATGCTTAACTAACTGAGCCATCCAGGTGCCCCTAATTTTTTTTGTTAACAAAGGATAGTATCTTTCATTTCTTGCAGTATATGGCATTTATCATTTTCTCAGAACAAATTTTCTCTTTCTGAACCTACATTATAAATCCACATATATACATACACATATACATACATAGAAATTAAAAATACCTATAATTTTTCCTGTTACACCAGAAAAGTTGGAAATAAATGAGGGAAAGGGAATAAGTGTCCTGGGAAAAGACCCTACTAGAATCACAAGTTGAGACATTGCTATCCGTTGCTCGTGGCAAAAGAACTGAGAAAGCAATGGTGGTGATGGTGAATGGTTGATTGGTAAGATGGGTGATATTGCTATGGCCACTTCTCTCCCAGTGCCTGAAACCATCCGTGCTACTATACATTCTTTTCCAGAGTTGCAAGGAATCAAGAAAGCACCCCTCTGTCATACTAGTTGCTCTCTTTGCTATTGTCTCTTGTCTCCTGCAGATCCACAACTCAGGGCCCGCTGACAGCACAGTCCAGTTCATCTTTTATCAGCCTATCATCCACCGATGGAGGGAGACAGATTTCTTTCCTTGCTCAGCAACCTGTGGAGGAGGTAATGGTGTTGACTTAGCCTAGGAACTGTTAGCTTCTATGAGGGAAGGCTTAGCTGTTGTAAAAGTAGCCACTTCAACATGGAAGAACTTTCGTGCTGTGACGGGTTAGATTCTTTATTCTGAATGGGGCCAAATCCAGAAGTCCGCCTGTAAGGTGGATACCTCAGTCGGGATGGCCCATGAACATTTTCTGTCCGTAGAGTCCCATTAGTGGAAACGGTCTTGAGTCTGTTCTGTTCATTTGAGAATCAACTACTCACCTAGTTGAAGAGAACTTATTTATTCCTGAGTCCAGTGAAGAGTGTTTGTCAGGCCTACTATGTAGCATAATGTGTTCAAAAAGAATCAGAGATGAATTTAATTAAAGGGAATAGTTTATTACCCGAAAAAAAAAAAAAAATCACTGTTCTGTAGACTTCAGCTTGGTTATTGTTAAGCTCTATCCCATCATCTCTCCTGAAAAGTCACCAAATGAATTCCTATCTCTGCTCCATCACATCCGCAATAGGGACAGCATTTTGTATTACTGGAAAAGATATTTTCTCCCATTTTCTGCCCTTTACAATTATAATGGTTACATAATAATTGCTTCAAATTACTTTATGATAATTTATTTAGCCCTATCCTTATAGAAGATTTAGTTCACTTAAACTTTTCTCTTATAATGTAACGAATAACTTAATAGCCAAGTTTCTTTTTCCTTTTCTCCTTTCAAATTATTTCCTTGGAATAAATTCTCAAGAGTGAGTTTCAGAATTTTTGTGGCTATTGGCATATATTACCAAAATTCTTTCCAGAAGGGTAATAAGCAGAGTATGAATATTTGAGTTTCATTGCCAACTGAGCCAGTATTTGTGGATTATAAGAAATTGTTTAATTTTGCTGATTTAATGAGCATAAAATTGTCTGTATATTCCTTTAAAAACCAGCATATCAAATAAATTCTGGCTCCACCTTCACCGAAACCGGATTGTTGGCTGGTGTTAAGTAGCTCATCTACATGGGTATCACTAGATTATTCCGACAAGAGAAAAAAAGGATGATACCTCAAAATGGAAACAAATTATTATCTATTATTTTTTTAAACAGTGAGAACGTATGAAATAATTCATCTTCATCTGCATAATGTGAACAAATCACTAAAAATCAGGTCCTCTAGAGCAATGTTAGATTTTAGCCTAAAAGCAGTTAGTCAGAAATACCTTCAAGTGCTTTTACCTGGTTGCTAAATAACTATTAATTTGAGCTTCTCAGCATTTCGGCACAATAGTGTTTCCATTTGTTCTATCTGTTCTGAAGAGAAAATAACTTTGTTTAAAAGTAAAATGGCAATTACTTTGATGTTTCATAAGAATGTTATTTTGATACACTTATGAATGACTAGTACAGGAAATAGTTTCAAAGAAAGAAATCTAAGTAAACAATTATTTTTCTAGGTAAATAATTATTTTTCCTCTTTTCTTTTTAAATGAAAACCATGCTTTGACCGAAGTATCAATTCCATAATATGCCCACTATGTCAATTTCATATAGAGAGCTGGTGTTAGAGGGTAATGTCAGTAAGCTTGATGATGCCTTGCTATATAGTAAGGGGATTAATGTTAGATTCATATATAGCCAACCCCTCTCAACCTTATTTTCCTCACATCTAAGTGAACAAGTAGAAGCATCAGTGGTCTTCAAATGTTTTGAGCTATCAAACACTTTCTTCAAAGGAAATCTTACTAGGAAGCACAAATAAAAGGAGTATTGCTCAGAATAAAGATATGAGCTTTGTGGAAACCAGCCTTCTCCCCCTTCATGGACCAGTTTGACAATGACTAAAAGAATGATCTCTGAGTTCCTTTTTATATTTCTGGTTCCACATTCAGCTGGTTGACCGTTTTGCTAAGTGTAAACAATTGTGGCTAAAAATACCTTGTGAAACATTGGAAAACAGAATTATCTGACTATTTTGGTCTTTTATTTCATTTTTGTTCTAAGCCTTCATTACACACACTCTCGAATAGCTTCCAGCAACGTTTTTAAGCTGACAAATTATGATTTTTAAAAATCATATTCTCAGTTATATAATATACTTATTGCTTGTGCCCACATTTTACTACATGATAAACTCTGTCCTTGAGTAGAAATTATTATATGGAAAATTGTAAAATGGTTAGCTTATCATAACATTATCTGCTTTAGAGTATAATGTAATTGAAAAATAAAAGTATATTTACTTATTTAAAATGTCATTTTGCTCTTTGGCTTTCTTATAAAATAAAAAGTTTAATGGAACATGTGTTCTTACCTATTACTTTCCATGCTTTTCATCTTTACAGTAAAATTGTTAAAAGCTCTTTTTTTAGGCCTTTAATGAACAATTAATTTTTGTGGGTGGTCTGAAAACACAGCCTCAAGCCAGGAAATCTGGTTTATAAGCCTTCTTCTGATTTCCTAAAATCTTTTGCAAGTCTCTTAACTTCTCTCAATCTGACTTTCTAACATATATCTAGCAATAACAATATTCAACCACCTGCCAGGGAGAATATATTTTGGAGGTTGGTTAGGGTTAGAATGATTTTAAAAAAAAAAAAAAAAAGCCTAAGTTAAAAAAATTCTCCATGTACATTTATTTTTCACTCTAAGAATCTAAGTCTTCATCACCACCTCACTAGAAATCCACAAGACAAGAAAGAGGCAGGTGGAAAAGGTAAAACACATTATGAATGGAATGAAGCATTACTCAGCAGTGCTATTTTTTAAAAGAATTCTCTAAACAGTGGGAACTTGTGCATGGACACTAAAAAACTATTGGCTGGAGACTTAAAGAGAAATGAGAAAGGATTTTAGGTGAAGCAAAAATTGAACAGTAGGGGGGTACTATTATGGTTGTTGTTGTTTTGTAGGGATTCCTAATGGATACTATTAGGATCTTAATCCTCCACCTTCTCAGCCTAGCCTACTCAGGTTGAATTTAGACAAAAATAATGTTCCCAGGCAGCTGGAAGGACCCCATCTTGTGCTTTATTTCGTTGTCCCCCATTCATCAAGGGGAGCAGTGTTAGGGTTTATTTGATTGATTGATTGATTGATTGATTGATTGATTTGGGAGTTTATTCTTCCTGGTGCTTCAGAAACAAGGGAGGCAATTTTGCATCTTTGCATGAGATCCTTGGCAAATAAATACTGATCATCTCTTTTGAATACAGATATCCATGTTACACTTTTAGATTATACAAAACAAATTACTAGTAATAGTACTTACAGCAGAGTCTGATCACCTAGCTATGCCCTTATGTAGTTCAAACCTTACAGTATATTTGATTATTACAATTTGAGTGGAAAAAATCGTATTTGAGGCCTGCAAAGATTAATGAGCCTTCCATATTTCTCTTTTGTCCTGGAAATTACTGAAGTGTTGGGGAAGAATTTTCATTAATGTGAGATGGCCAAGAAGTATAAAGAAGTATATTACGTTATACTTTAATATGACATGTGTGTTGAAACTTGCCTGGATGGTTTGATACTGCAGGTTACCAGCTGACATCGGCTGAGTGTTACGATCTTCGGAGCAACCGTGTGGTTGCGGATCAATACTGTCACTATTACCCAGAGAACATCAAACCCAAACCCAAACTTCAAGAGTGCAACTTGGATCCTTGTCCAGCCAGGTCAGTCAGATTTACTAGTTTATTTATCATAAACATAAGTTGAGTTCCATCAGCTTCATAAAAATTTAATTAAAAATAAATAAGTGTTGCTGTCCAGGGACCATTCCTAATCATGTGTTATCCGTACCCACGCCCCATGTTCTTGAAGCTGTATGATGCCCTCTCAGGATCTCCAGAGTTTCCACTTGCGGAGCACTCTTCAGAGCTATTTTCTCTTCTGATTTCTTTTTATCCTGGTACTTGTATCCCTCCTTAACAAGGTTCAGGCCAAGGTGGTGGCACAATGTTCTCAGGATTCCTTCCATTTTAACTTTGTCACTTGATCAGTGACATGGTCAGAGTAGACCATATGTAAGGATCACAACTGACCCATTTTACCCTGGTCCACAGTAATTAACTAGAATAAAAACCAGTCTTAGAACAGCTCTAATTTTAACATACCCTGACTTTGTCAAAGAGAAAGTAGGACTTATTTGCAATAAGTCAGATTTTTTTTTTTAAGGTCTTTTTAATTAGGAGTTTTAAAGAGACACTTGACACTTGCACTAGTACTGTTGCTTTCTGGAAATCTGATTGGCCCTCAGTTATTTGTAGGATTAAGGATCAGACTGACATATGAAATATCTCAGATGATGAGTAGTCATAAAATACAGGTCAACAATCTGTTCATGGTGTAGCATTTGCCTTTGTAGTTGCAGAACTTCCTGGTAAATCTCTTTATTAGCTTCCTTATCCTCAACATATGAGAGAGGATATAAAAAAATTCTTCTCCTACAAAGCTAATCACGAACACCAAAAGATAAAATATCCTTTCCAAAGCTCCTTGGATTTCTTAGAAGCACCTCAATATTATTTTTTAAATCATAGTGGAGTAATCATGTATACATAAAACAAAATTTTTACATAGTTGAAATACTACATGAACAACATGCATGAAAAGTGTTCTATCTTTGAAGTTTGTGTTTTCTGCTGTTAACTTTCTAAAGTTATTTTCTTGTACTCTGTCTGTCTCATATTCATGAATTCTAAATTCTGCATGTGATACAAAATTGCTTCTTTCATATACTTAGCTCATAAAACTGAACTCAGAATAACATGTTTTCATTAAAAAAAACAGAAAAAAATGATATTTTATAATTATATAATTTAGGTGAAGTTTAATTTAATTTAGGCTCATATTACACCAGAAAATTATGTATTAAAAAGTGGATATGGTATAAAAACTGAATCAGGTATTAAAATTTTGCTTGGACTTTTTTTAACTTTGGAAATATTAAGAGTACGAAGTGGGGCGCCTGGGTGGCGCAGTCGGTTGAGCGTCCGACTTCAGCCAGGTCACGATCTCGCGGTCCGTGAGTTCGAGCCCCGTGTCAGGCTCTGGGCTGATGGCTCAGAGCCTGGAGCCTGTTTCCGATTCTGTGTCTCCCTCTCTCTCTGCCCCTCCCCCGTTCATGCTCTGTCTCTCTCTGTCCCAAAAATAAATAAACGTTGAAAAAAAAAAATTTTTTTTTTAAATAAAAAAAATAAAAAAAAAAAAGAGTATGAAGTGTTTTTAGCCAAGATGATTATAGCCAATGCAGTTCAACCCCACTTTTAAATTATTCTACTTATTATATAATAAGTATATAATATACTTATTATATCTATACCAGAAGACCAGTGTGTGAAAAGCATAGTTATCCTAATTCAGACAGATCAGTTCAGCCAGAGAAAGACTTTGAAAGTCTTTACACGCTTTCATCAAAATTTATGTATGAATTTCTAGGAGAAATGGGGGAGTCACCCCCATATCTGGGGGAAAAAGAACTTCAATAAAGAGATGGCCAGGGAAGACAGTTGTGAAATAAGAGCATTTTGTTAACAATTTTAAGAAAATGTTTATAATCTACTCAATTTTTTTCTGGCTTCTGAATTTTATCTCTTCTTGTTTGGAATAGTATTTGTGGCCTATTTCTTACTATCCCAAAGCAAAAGGCCATACTATATTGAAAGAAGTCTGCATGTGAACTTTATGCCTTGTCTGTGTCCTTTGTTATTTTAAAACATCTAATACAGCACATGTATAAATGTTGGGACAGGTGGCTATTAAGGAGAAAGAAAAAATAAGTTCGAGGCAAATGTCAGGAAGCTGCTTTTTTCAATGCAGAAGTAATTAAACAAAGCTGTAAAGATTAAGACTTAGCAGTAGGAGAGATTTAAGAGGAAACTGCTTTAGGAAATGTAGATTTGCTGCTTCAAGGATCACTGGGAAATTCATTGTACTTTATTTGCATACTTGGGATCAAAGCAACCTTTCTAAATTCTGAGAGAAAATAAGAAGCGATGGTTCCAGAGAACCTACTGTATAAAATAGGTCTGCCCTCCTGTTAGACATAGCCGAGTTGAACCCTCAAGAAACTGCTTTCTAACTACAGATTTAACTGCCTAATAGTTAAATCAAGAGTGACACAATGACATTAAACTATGGCCTTTGTGTCTAAAATTAGAAACCCTCAAAGGGAAAACGTAGACATTCTTAGTGCTGACATATTTTTGAATTTTCAAAAAAATTATTTTATGTAGCCCTTGAGATATTTGTTCACTTTACCTGTATGAGACTAGGACTTAGGACCTATTATATATTATTTGAAAGCAAAATCCCATTCATAAGGCCAAGTTTATTGCTTGTCAAGGCTGGGAAGTACCATGGACAGCAAAAAGTACACTAAATAATTAGTGTGTAGCCCTAGGCTTATTATTTTACCTTTCTGGACCTCAGTTTTTTCATCCACAAAATGAGGGTGAGAGGGTTGTTTGTTGCATTAAATTGTGGCTTTCAGACCTTGTCTACAGAACCTATAATTCCATAGAGTTGCTTCACTGAATTTCATTTTACACATTTTGAAGTATTTTTAAACAATAAATCACAAAACGTTCATGTTTATACATATATATGTATATATATTTAAACATGTTAAACTAATTTTAACTTATTAAAATTCAGCCAAATTGTAAAAAAAAAAATTGTTGTAACAGTTGTAAAAATGTTATACCACCAAAGGGACTACTTTTTGCACTCATCATTAAGTTCTTCAGTATGTCTGTTTAACTGAAAAAATAGGTATACTAAGATTGCAAGGTGAACTGTAAAAACTGTTATCATTAGCAGCTCCTTCTCTGAGATAATAGGAATTTTGTCATCGCTGCACATCTAAAACCAAAACAAACCAGAAATAAACTGGTTATGATGACCATTAGCCATAATCCTTGATATCCAATTTTTTCTGTTTACCAAAATAGCCTCATTGTTTGCATTAATTTGCTTTATAATAAGTAAATGTTTACAGTTGAACTAATGAACTAAATGATATCCCTTACTCATTTCACTCACTGACAATATCCACTGACTCTCATGGTGGTGGATTGGTTCATCTTGAAGTTAAAGGGATTGTTGACATGTAGCCCATTTTTTTCAAAACATTTTTATGGTTTTATGGCTTTTTTTCTGATGCTTAATGCTAAGAAATGTTGATGAGTTAAAAGCCTATGATGAAAACAATAAAACTCACTAATAATCCCTAGGGGCCACAAATAACCACTGTTAATGTTTTTGCTATATTGCTTTCCAGTCTTGTCTATAGCTCATAACATCGATGAGATCATACTGTGTACCGTGGACACTTGGAATTCAGCAATTTAGTGTTCTTGGTTTCCACTATCCTAAAGCAAGCCTGAATATCCATGACATATAGTAACTTGACATTTTGCTGAGGCAGGAATATGAGTCCCCTATACTACTAGACCAACATTTGAGCCTACCTGGCTGCCAGAAGTTCCAGCCCAAGAGAGCTTTGTTGCTCTCTGCTGATGTCTTTTATGCAGTCATTTTTATGAAGTGGTAAAATACTTTGTCTCCTTGCCAAAAGTGGTCTCAAAAAGGAAGCCAAACTTAACACTTACAATGGAAGGGAAGAGAAAATGAAGTTAAAATTTTAATGGCTTTTAGCTAAAATTAAGAATGTTTCTCATTGGTGACTCAGAGCTATGGCCTCACTAATCCCCTCATATGCTCTATATGGTGTTCTGGTGGCAGTCTCAATTTGGGCACTTCCAGAAGTCCAGAGGCATGCCCTCCCAGCCCCCATTTGTCCGTGATCTACTGCCTGTTTAATTTGTTTTCCACTGCATTCATTTAACACTGTAGTATGAACCTTTTCTCATGTAGCTAAGACACTTAGAATCTAATCAAATGTAAAATCCCCTCCTTTGCCTGCCATGCTAGAATCATAGCTTCTGTCATTTTTTAATGCCTCTCTCTGCTGTTGTTTGTTCGTGTGATTTTTTTGTATCATCTTTGCCTCCCAGTCGAAGGGTAAAACCCATCATGTGGCCAGAGAGCCTCAAAATGTATGCCTATGGTCCACCAACAACTAAAAAGGCATAGTTTTAGTTCAGCTGATAAGCACCTTATGTTTTCAGAGTGGATTTTAATGTGAATTATGCTACATTTGGTCGTATATATCTCAGTCTATGAGACTGAAAAGACTGTTAATGCTGTCTGGGGGAAATTGTGCAAGACATTGTTTGTGAGAAGATCAGAGAACCACCTTTTCAGATTTTTTCTGGCATGGGCCTCAAGCTTTCCCTCCAAGGCAGTAATGAAGGGGGCTTAAATTGGCAAAGGTTGGAAAAGTGAAAAAAGCTCTCACTCATCACACTATCATGGTCACAATCATTAGCAAACAAATCTGTTTCTAGCTGAAACTGCATCCAGATTCCCCCTTCCCTCAAGGAATTCAGAGCAACACTCCTGAGAAAATGCCCAAACTTGTATGCCCCAAGCGGCAGTTGTTGGTGAGTTCCAGTGGACTTTTTTATCCAGCTCCCTTTAATTTGACAGAAAATTGCATAAGTCATCCCTGGCTATCATTCAAATTGTAAACAAAATCTCAAATGCAACTTTAAAGAAATAATCTGCATCATGAGAGCCATTATGTGTACAGGGCATATAAAAATCTGGT